TATGACATCGAAAGACAAGACCTTGAGCAAGATCAAAAAGATGAGGATTACGTTTCTCATCGTGTAAAAGCTCATTGAGTTGTTCATCTGTTTCATAAGTAGTTTCGATGATTGAAAATATATTGTTCTTATTATTTTTATCTTCATGAGTAATAACTGCTTGCATAAGTAGATTCTTTTGAGTGTCAAAATGAAGTGATGTATGAAGTGAGGGATGTTTATTAACAGCAAGATAGAGAGCATGACGAAGTTGTTTAATCGATAAAGTATGACCTGTTTGGAGACGATAAACAAAAGGCATGTTATAGATGGCTATTTGAGGGTTGTCTAGATCGAATCGAATTCTCTCGTCAAGCCAAATACGAGCTTGTGCAAATGATGCTGGTGCTATATAAAAGAGAAAGCAATCAGAAATGGTTAATGATATTGCTTGTGAAAACTTTTGTTTGTATATGTTTCAATCGTTATTGAAGTGCTCTTAGAGAGGAACTTTTAAATAGTATAATTAATATTGTTGTTTGCGACAGATAGGTGTGCTATTATATCGATCATTCATTAGAAACTTCAAATAACTAGACAGATAAAATAGGTCGTCATGATGTTTTTGATATGTCGTTAGTTGCACTTTTTTTTTGAATGCTTCAGTATTTATAGCCGCTAAATTACGGAATGTTTTTTAACGTCATAGTAACTTGTCGGAAAAACGTTTTGAAAATTGAAGGACATTTACGAATAACAGAAACTTTTTTCAACAAATATATTGTGCTGTTTTATATGGAAGACACACATGTTCATAGAGGAGGGTTAGAGAAAAATTTCTTGGGTGATATAAATGCTTCTTTTAAACGGAAAAATGACGCTTCAGTGAAAAACTGCTAGTTTTCAAAGTACGAAGGACACAAATCGTAGGTAATTTTACCCTACGACATAGTCATCTACAGAAAAACCATCTGAAACAATGGATTCATGTTGGTATATATGAAAAAAATCTTGAGAATGAGTGTGGGTATAGGTATCTCTATGAATACAAAATCCACGTTCACATATCCACTCAGAGTCACACACTCATCCTATGGTTGAGCACCGCTTCTCGGATGATCCGAGCGATGTAAAAACATACCCTCAATGATATCTCTGTACAATGTATTCATTCTCAATATTCATATTCATTAAGAAAAACTTGGCCTAGATAAACATACCTTCGTTTATAATATGTGATTGTCGACAAAAAACAGTATCTTCCATTTCTTCAGTTTCTTCTGATAGAATAAGGTCAATTTTCAATATGGATGTAACACATGTATCAAGTCGGTTGATAGTTTCATTCGATGAATAAAGTTGTTGAAAACAATATTCTAATCTTCGACCTATATTTGTAACTGTAATCTCATCAAACAAATCATGTGAACAAGTTAAACGAAATGATAATCTATTATTTTCCAACATTGGATTATAGACAAATGTTAACATAAAATCGAACTTAGCCACTTCATACGATCGTTCAGATGACACTTGTCTGAAACTTGCTCCATCAAAAGATAGTTCATCGCTGTGTGCGGATATAGTAATGAAGTCATACACTGTTTCAAGAAACGAAATACTCGATTGATTAATATGTAAATTAGCAAGAATATGTTGTAATGGATAATGTGAATGTTCAAGAATTGATAAACATTTTTCTTGTACATATTTAACGAGATCATCAAATGACCAATGAGGATCAAGTTGAACACGATATGGTAGTGTTGAAACAAACATTCCCATTATATTTTGTAATTCATTTCGATATCGATTAGCATTAAGACAAGAAATACATAAATCATTTTCACCATGAGTTAACTTGAAAAGAAAAGCATATAATATACTCAAACCTAACTGAAATGGTGTCACATGATGTATAGAAGCATAATCAAGAAATAATTGTGAAATCTCGTTATCAAAAGAAATTTGAGTGACAGAAGCAGAACTCGATCGATGATCATTAGACAAACGATGTCGATCAACTGGTAATGATAATGGAGATTCCAAATTGTATTCTTCTAATTGTAAATACCAAAACGCACGGGATATTGACATATCAAGTAGACGTTCATGAATACTATAATCAATATATTGCAATGATTCATCATCATCTGTTATTGATATTGCATTAGCATTATAAGCGAAACATAGATCATTGAAAAAGATCGGAAAACTTGCTCGATCAGATGCAACATGATGAAAAGCAATGAGGAGAACATCAGAATTAGTTATGAACGCATTGCTATTATTTCCATTTCCATTTAGTGATTTTTGATGTCTCACAATTTCAGCATGAAAAACAAGACCAGTTGATAAATCGAAGAGAGAAGGGTTAATAGTTGTTTGATAGATAACATTTCGAAGTTCACTGTCATTTTCAAATGTTTGATTCATAGTTATTGTGAATGTTTTGTCTGAATTTGTAATGCATTGCTTCAAACTATTATTATCATTGTTGAAAATAAGAGATGTACGTAATATTTGATGTTTATTCAAAACATATCGAAGTGCTTGTAATAAACGAGTTAATGATATTGATCCTTGAACAACTTGTAAAGTATACAGTTCATTATAGATAGCAATATCACTCGAAAAACGAACTTGTTCATCGAGAAAGATACGTTCTTGAGCAAAAGAGGCAACACCTGTGAATTAAATAATAGAAATTATTTTAGTAATTTC